GTAACTCCATTGTTCCCACCCCAGGACTTCTGCTCCCAATGTAGTTAATTAGGCTTCTCTGGAGCATTCTTCCAGGATTATCCCTAGGGTTCTATGTTCCCATCACAAGGGAGATTCTCTCTAAGACTGTCCTCTGGCTGACTAGATCTTACATGTCCTTCAAGCAACAAATTAGTCCTCATTTTCTAGGAAGCCAGCTTTTTAAATTCCAGCTCTGAAAATCTCTCTTTCCTTTTCCCAAATTATTTCAATATTTACTGTACAGTGGAATTATACTGTTTCTTATTCATTTTTTGACCAGATATTTATCTCTTTGCCTCATATATAAATTCTTTTCAGATTAGATTTTTAGTTTAGATTATAAACTCCTTAAAATAGAAAACAATGTCCTTTTTGTGGAGTTACATGTGGTAAACAAGTTTGTGTTGAGTTGAATTGAGTTGAAGTTGAGTTGAATTGGAGTCTATTCATACATATGTTGTTGTTTAAACTTACATTTATGCTGTTTCACCAGGCTGCAAGAAAAGCACTGACAACACACATTTCTTCCCCAATATCTTCTTTTCAGTAGATATCAGCTCTTCTCCATTATTCCACCTACTTAATAATTTGTACTGAATTTGAAAAATAAAGATTCTCCTAGGGCTGTATTGGCCCAAGTGCATTTGAAACATCAACTAAAGTTATATCTGATCCTATAATCCAGTTCCCAGTTAGAGCTGGCAACAGCCTCACCAGATAGGCAACAAGACTGGCCTTTTGGGGCTCAGGTAACGGCTTACCTTTTTCATGCAACCAGGTACATGATCCAACTTCAAGTTGGTTCCCACTCTATCCCAATATGCCCCACATTTATCCCAAATGTCACTGAATACATTTTCTTCCACCATTGCTTATGATCTGCTCCATCAACATCTATCTAAACATCAGGGAATCCTAGACTACGGTTCTATAGCAAGTTTATTCTTAATTTACTTACCTCAGTTTTAACAAAATGGAATTCTGCAAAATCTCAGATGGCTAGTTATTGTTTTTGCTATCTGCCATCAAGTTGGCCCCTGATTCATGGTGACTCCATGCCTTACAGAGTAGTACAACTCAGGTAATTGTGTAGTGCACCTGCAATGGCTTCCTCACAGTGTAGTGAAATTGCAGCCTCAAGTTCAAGTTCATCTCTTGTCATTGTTGTCAAAGTAAAAGGCAGAGAGTATAGAGTTCGGAAAATTAATTTATTCCCTTGAAGTTCAATTTCCCCACAGATATATGGGGAATAATTCTACCTACCCTCACATGAAGGAGCTCTTGTAGCATAGTGCCTAAGGCACTTGACTGCTAACCAGAAGGCTGGAGGTTCAAACCCACCAGCCACTCTTCAGAAGGAAGATGGGGCAATCTACTTCTGTAGTGATATCACCTTGGAAACTCAAGGAGGGGTCACTATGAGTCAGGTCTAACTCAATGGCACATAACAACAACAACGCCCTTACATGAAGGAACTCTGATGGGATAGTGTCTAAGACATTTGACTGCTAACCAGAAGGCTGGTGGTTCAAAGCCACCAGCCAGGCCTAGAAGGAAGGTTTGGCAATCTACTTCTGTAATGATACCATCTCGGAAAACCCCAGGAGGGGTTTCTATGAGTCAGTTTCAACTTGATGGCAGTGAGTTTGATTTTTGGTTTACCTTACATGACAATTGTCAAGATCAAATCAAATGGCTTGCATGAGAGTTATCTATAACCTGAGAAATGCTATCTGTTCATGGGAGCATTGGTGGTTCAGAAGTAGAATTCTTGGTTACATGAGGGAAACCTGGTTTCAATTACTGGTCAATGCACCTCAAATGAAGCTAACACCCATCTGTCAGTTAGGGCATGTGTATATTATGATGATAAACATGTTTCAGTGGAGCATCCAGATTAAGAGATTAGGAACAAAAATCTGACTATCTATCTTAAAAAAATAGCCACTGATAACCCTGTGGATCACAACAGTCTGATTCCATTATGCATGGGGTTGCAATGATTTGGGTACTGACTTTACAGCAACTAACAAAAAAGAACAATTCAGGCATCAATGTGGGGTTTAAATGCTATAGTATACAAGCAGATGGATACCACAAGAAATGAACTTTTATGGGGACATTGTACTTAGGGTGGGTCCTTCCTAAAGAACTCTGGTGGTATAGTGCCTAAGGCATTTGACTGCTAACTAGAAGGTTGGTGGTTCAAACCCACAAGCTGCCCTGGGGAAGGGAAACTGGGCAATCTATTTCCATAAAGATTTACCACCTCAGAAATCCAAAGGGGGTCACTATAACTCGGAATCAACTTGTTGGCAGTGAGTTTGTTTTTTGGGAGGGTCCTTTCTATATAATACTGTCCTTACTGAATGTTTTGGTTAGTTTTTATTGGTACTGAAAGAAGAAATATGGGAAATCACTCTAAGAGTGGGTTTACTAAGTGAAACTTTCCAGGGTTTACATCTCTTCACCTAGAAGTCCTATTCTTTTCATGAGTAATATTTCCTCCTTCTATAATAAATATGCTTAATTATTTGGTGTCTCATCTGGTGCCTTGGATTTGAGTTTCTACTGTGTGTCTGCAGTGGGTAAGTCAGTGAGGCTACACATCTTTGCAGCCTCCCAGCCTCCCCAGTGCTGCCTTCATCTCTTTATTGCGGAGTGTGTAGATGATGGGGTTAAGCAAGGGAGTAATGACAGTGTAGAAGACAGCTACCACCTCATCTAGGGGCTCCTGTGAGCCAGGCCACAGGTAAATGAAGGTTCAAGGAACATAGTAAACAATTACAACAGTCAGGTGAGAAGCACAAGTGGAGAAGGCATTGTGGCACCCATCTGCAGAATGAATTCTTAAGATGGCAGCTACTATGTAGCCATAAGAAGTAAGGATGAGCACAAAGCAGGTGAGGGCCAGGAAGCCAATGTCCACAAAGGTGACCAGCTCATTGATGGTGGTGTCAGTACAGACCAGGTGTAGTATGGCAGGAATGTCACAGAAGAAGTAGTCTACCCGGTTTGGGCCAGAGAAGGGCAGATGGAATGTGAAACTTGTTTGGAAGAGTGAGTGGAGTGTGCCTCCAAACCAGGTGCCAAAAGCCAAGTAGGTACAGACACTGCGGGTCATGATGGTGGCATAGTGTAAAGGCTTACATATTGCCAGGAAATGGTCATAAGCCATGAGTGTGTAAAGGAAGCATTCAGTGCAGCCCAGAAAGTGGGAAGAAAATAATTGGATTACACAGCCCCCAAAGGAGATAACTCTACTATCCCAGAGAAAGCTAGCCAGCATCTTGGGGACAATGACAGAGGAAACGGTCATATCCAGGAAGGAAAGGTGACATAGGAACCAGTACATGGGGCGGTGGAGCTGGATATCCACCAAGACTATGAGGATGATGAGCCCATTTCCAGAGACAGTGAGGATGTAGATGACAAAGAAGGCTAGGAATAGTGGTACACCCAGCTGTGGTGGGTGGTGCAGACCCACCAAAATGAAGTGATGCACAGAAGTCTGGTTTCCACTTTTCATTTCCTTGCTGTTCACATCTGCCAAGAGAAGTAGCAGAAAGGAAGGTTCAGTACCCTCTTAAATCTCTAGGCATGGCATATATACTCTGTGTCATAATTAAATATGTTCAGAAAATGAGACTGTTCTCTCTCTAGCTCTTCTTCATTTTCTCTCCCTACATTTCTCCTAACACCTGATTCTGAGATCATGCTTTGTTCCAAGGAACAGTTGTTATCTCCAAGGTTAAACTCTATGTAACAGATTATGTATACATAACTCAAGAAAATGAAGAAAAGATTACATATATGTATTTCCAAGGAAGAAGCAGTATAATCATATAAAGTCTAAATCTATCTGGAAGAAAGGGTATTCTGTATCTTTTCTTCAGTTTGATCTGTGTACCAGGGAACTGTACCTTATTTAATTTTCTAGAGCCAGATATTTGGAATTATTTTTCCTAATACAATTATGCCCAATAAAAATCTATGTATTTGTTAAAAATATACTATCTAGGTCTCAAATTGGACCTAATACTATGCAGAATCTCTTGAGGTATAGCCAGAAACATCTACTTCCAAAATGAGTGTGCCATTTATTACTCTTAAAGATAGTGAAGTAATACAGAATCCCAGCCTCTGATTATGTTCTCTTTTCTCTTCTTCTGAATAAGTGCAGTCTATTCATCCATCCATCCATCGATCCACCCACCCATCTATCCATCCATCCATCCATCCAACTATCCATTGAATTATCCATTGACACAATAAGGCACCAAATTTAGTAGCTTAAGAGAGTGGCTTCTAATGTCAGAATGACTGGTTAAAAATTCCAGCTCTTCTGCTTTTATGTGTTGGTAATCTTGAGAGGCCACTCATTTTCGTTCTCTCCCACCATTAAGTGGAGAACATTATATTGCCTACTGCATAGGACTGTTGTAGTATTAAATTCACATAATGGAATTTGAGCAGTGCTAGGCACAGTAGCATTCCATAGGCACTAGCTATTCTTTTCCATCAAATGCATGTATTGTGGTTCTATATTATTTCCCAATTGCCAGGGTCTGCGAAGAACTTTAGATGGGGAAGATTAAAGCAAATTCAGCTATCGCACATGAGGTGCATCTTTCCATTTCACTTTCCTTTTACCCTCCAGTAGTCTGTGTACAAATGGGAGGCAAACATCCAAATAATGTGTCATTTTCTCAAGGAGTCATAGACAACCCAGAATCACTCAGAAGTGTTCAGAGTATGTGTAGAATGGAATCTGGTGTCCAACTGGACTCACATTTGCTGAGGGAATCATAGTAGTAGCTGTAGACGCCACTGTTGGTATTCCATCCCTTTCTACACCATGTATTACCATATGTCCACCATCTGATCACTCTCAATCTTCAGTGCCACAGAGACTTCTCTTCTTAGTGAAAACAAG